TCAGACCCCGGGGGCGAGGCTTGGGTGCGGGGAAGGCCCGGATGACAGGCTGAGGAGAATTGTATGTAGACAGAGTGAGAGGATTCTTAGGGATCATTTGTCCAACGATTTCATTTCATAGATGTAGATGAGGAAACAAGACTCAGGAGTTACTCCCCACTTCTACCTTTCCAAGATCACATGCAACGGGTTGGGAAGCTAAAACAAGGAAGGACATTTAATGAGCATACACTTACTCTACGTCAGACACCATGCAATGCACTTTAAGTGCAGTGTCTTACTTAATCACAATGACTAACTAGAGTTTATTATTTTACAGATAAGGCAACGGACACTCAGAGAGGCTAGATACATTGCCCAAAATTAAAGCTAGGAGATGGCAAAGAGGGATTCAAACATCGGTCTTCTGATTCCCAATACTTTGATCTTTTAGTTATACCACACATCGTTAGGTAATTTTCTGACTTCACCTATTCTAAGTTGGGAGAAACAGTAAGGAAGAGTGGAATGGGCCGCTCCCTTAACCTCCCATTAGAGCGAGGAAGAACTGGAAGATATGCAGAAATCAGAAAACCGAGAAGCCTAAGGGGACAGATTAAGACAATTACCCTTGTACATGACCTGTCAGGCTGGGTTCCTCTGATTACTCTTACACATACACACACACACACACACACACACACACACACACACACACTACACATCCTTTGTCAGTAGACCATCATGCCATTTTTACCTAGGTGAAGCTATACTTCTCTCCATCCACCCCCCTGCAGTGGCTCAGGATGGGGAAATGAAAGTCAGAAGTAGAAAAAAAAAAATGGATGAAACGCACCAGTGAGATGAAAATTAGACCCCCAAGGAATAACTGGGAATAGTCACAAAATAAGAAGCTTGAAAGAGGGGCAGTTAATCTACTGGGATATATGTGTTGATGGTGGAGGGAAGTACTTTTTGTAGGATATACTTTTGGAGAAATCTTAAATTAAAGAATTTGAAGATGGACATAGGGGAGACTGGGCAAGTGAAAGTCTGCCAAACGCCTTAAAACCTTCAGGACATGGGACACTATTTCTTCTGCAACCACAGTTGGTCTGTTGGTCTCCTGCAAAGAAGGTGGCTGTAACCTCTAAGTATCCCCTAGATCATTATAGATATGCTTAGCATCACCCTCCATCCCTGTTCCTCATTCCCCACATCCCACACCCTCAGGCAGAAGTGACAAAACAGAGACTTCTGAACACATTTATTTGATATGTCAAGTGGAGAGAGGAGTGATTTAGGGCTACTCCCCACTTCTACCTGTGGGGGTGTTCATAAGCTCAGACAGACAGATTGCATCGTAGAGCCCATGACCCACTCCCTGGGAAAATGAGACAACCTGTTGATTGGTTAGGGGAGCTAGATGGGAATAAAAGGCAGGAAGTTGAGAATAAAGCTGAGAGCAAGAAGGGCAGCAGCAGAACTGAGGCTGGGGATTGCTGCAGGAAACCCCTAAGGAAAGTGAAGAAGATATCCTGAAAAGTGGTTAGGGCTGGAAGCAGGGTGTGAAAGGAGCCAGGCCTGGAGAGAGAAGCAACACCTACACAAGGGAGTGGGATATTCAGGAAGAGGGCAGAGTGTGCAAAGTCATGAACGAGCTGTGTTGCAGGGCATACATGGAAAGCAGGGGATTGCTTCTGCAGGAGGGCAAACAGATTGGATACTACCCATAAGTAGGGGTTCCCTACTGCTTCTGAACAAATGCAGGTGAGTTTGGGACCCACTTGGGGCCCTAGCACAAGTGGCCCTGTGTGTGCCATTCCTATGGATGGGTACACAAGTAATTCCCATATGCATGTGAAGTGACCAGCACATGAATGCATGTGTCTATATGCCCAGTAAATAGAGTACTTACCCTTCTCTGTGAATAAGAGTACTGTGCTTGTGGACACTTTCTTACCCATGTGTGCGTGCACCGTGCCCGTGAGCACATGCAAGAGACCCCCATGTCCGTGGTGTGTGTGTGAGCTGGTTCTCCCACCTGTCCCATCAAGGTCCTGATCCCCACCCTCCTTGACTCCTCTCACTCGTCTCAGCGCCCTGGCTCCCCTGGCCCGCCTAGACTCTGGAAGCCCCCTAGCAGGCGGATCTGCTCAGTCTGCATCGAGTGGCGCCTCACCAACTTGCGCTTGGTCCTAGGAGAGCCTGGCGCCCCCGCCTGGGGAGGGGCGGGCAGCGAAGGCGCCCGACCTCCGGGTTGGGGGCGAATGTCGGGGATGGGAGGGTGGGGGCTGACGTTGAGCGGAGGCAGGAAACCAGGCCGCGTTTGCGCGATGTGGTCCAGGAGCAACGTCCCCGAGCCCCTCCGCTCCAGCAGCCCGGGACTCCGCCTCCGTCCGCTCAGGGGAGAGACGGCCCCAGGCAGACTCTCCTGGGACTGGCGCGGCGAGGGCGCCGAGCCGGCTGGAGGGAGGGTCAGCGGGGAGGCGCTGTATCGGCGGCGCTCCAGGGACAAGCGGCTGCACTCCGGCGAGTCGGGGCAAATATTCCCGGGAGTATCGAGCTCCACCGGCTCCATGCGGCTCAGTTTCTGCCTCAGCCCCGCAGGGGGACCGGACTCCTGAGCTTCTGGCGCAGTGTTTCGGCGAGAGAGAGGACCCCCACCCGTCACTTTCTCCGCCCACGGAGGCGGGTCCTCCGGGCCTTCAGTGCTGTGACGTCTGGAAAGACGGGGTCGACCGGTCAGGGTCAGGCCGTTGAATTCGGCGGTCAGGCGCTCGATCCCCGGCCTCCCTTCCGCGGGCGGGACAGGTTGAGGAGGGGCCACTAGGCCCCAGGGCTCGGAGTTGAGCCTTTTGAGTGGTTTTGGAGGGTGACGGGGTGGTTTGGGGAGCGGCTCAGAAGGGGAGGGGTCATCGGGGGGTTTAGGAAGAGGGAATTCGAATACGTCCCGCTTCTCCTCTTCTTCCTGAGCGCGAGGGGACAGCAACCCCCGTCCTCCTCCACCTCCTCCTCCTCCTCCACCTC